CGTCCAAGTCCTTAAGAATTGTCTCTGAAAGACCTGTGTAAAATTTCATGAAGATCGGTTGAGTAGTTCTCGAAAAAGCATTGCCAACCGACTTCAAAAACACAGTTTCAAAAAGAATGTGTTAAAAGATTTAAGTGACTCTATAAGTGACCTCGAGAGCACAAGTTCTCAAGGCTGTATCTCTGAAACTGTTACTCGGATTAACTTAAAAATTTAGGACAATAATCTAGAGGCGTTGTAGAATTTAATAAAAAACAATAAAAAATCAACTCCTTGTAATGTAACCCCTTAAAGATAAGGTAGCTGTTTGAACTGGGCGGTTACTTTTTTTACTTATAGCCACTTGACGATTTGAAATTTTAGTACGTATTTTTAGCTGTATAAAGTATAGAAATATGGAAAAAAAAATCGTTTCATTCAAATTTTCACACTAGGTGAGCCCCTTAAGATCTCTGCTATATCTCTTTCCATACAATCACTTTCATCAAAAATTTAAATTTTGTGAGCAAAATGTTTTCCAAAAGTTTCAACTCCGGAAAACGACAAAATGTAATTTTAAGAAACCACCATAATATTACTAAGATTGAAGTAGAAAGTTATTAAGCCAAAAGTCACTTTTCAGCTATACAATGTTTATTTTTCATGCAAAACTTTAAATTTATGTTATCAAAATAACGCTTCTATTATTAAGAACACAACTGTATGTACATATATGCTTCATTATTTTTTTTAAGGTTTTGCAACAAGTTTAAATAATTTTCGCCAAAAAGCTTATTTAACCGTTGGAATAGCAGCCTTTATCGATTCATAAAAAATACATATTTCTGCAATTATAAGTAGGTAGGATATGTGTGCAAACGGTTTATAATAATGCAAGGCATAATATGTGTGAATTGATTGTTTATTGTTTATGTGCGCGTTTATGTTTAAGGTGAGCAACTTCGGTCAAGGAATTGTTCTTTATTAATTTATGTTATATGTACACACGTGTGTGTGTGTGTATGTGTGTAGGTTAGTGTGAGCATGTTAGTATGCATGCAGCTTGTTGTTATTTTCACAATTTAAATTTTCGACTATTTGGCGTGTAGAATTTAACGAGAACAACCTCCAAACGAGCAACCAGCATCCTCATTGCCTCAAAGTGCTACTTTTTTTTATGGTGCACAACTAGCTCAGCCGAGTGTAGAAGCCATTCACCTTTTAATAGTTGCTACAATATGTATTTATCTCTGTTGATTTGTTTGTGTGTATATGTGTTTGTGCATAAATCATGGCATTCACTACGCATACCGCTGTTGCCTGCCTAGCTCGTTGACTATAACTAGCTATCTACTCAGTTATACATACATATGTTTATATGTACCATATGTACTTGGGTGCTGGTGCTTGGCGCTGCTGCCTGGTTGGGCCATTCACATTTCGCACACAATTTGTTGCCATTTCGCGTTCACGTCGCTACATAAAAACTGGTTCTTCCACTCAATAATGATGATAAATAAATTCATGCTGTTCCACTAATAATATTATATATGTAATAATAATGAAGTATTTTCGGGGGTAAAAACAAAAACAAAACCGAGTAGCCAAGTCAGATTGCTTCACCTCCCGCACCCACCTGTCGTAGAGTGAACAATTTGCCGAGTTTATGTTTGGAAATTAAAATTTATGTTAATTGTGAGGCCTTAACTAAATCGCCTCTTAGCCATTGATCTTTTGTGGCAAATGAATTTTGCGGTTTTCAATTGTTTACACATTATAACATACTTATTCGCAAAACAAAGAAAATAAAAATAAGCTCATCATTTTGCTGATTATTTCGTAAATTTTGTTTAATAGTGTATTCATGTATTCGAAATATTATTTAGAAATTATTTGCATTTAAAAAAAAAATCACATAACAGCTCAATGGAAAAGTCCCCGGAATACCATAGTAAAATACATATTTTGGCGAAGTGCTCTTATTTTATTCAACGTAGTTCCCACCAGGGGTGCTATGCTAATTAAGGTGGCACCCCAACTTTTTGATACCATTTTCGTAGTAGGCTACAGTTTCGGCGATCACATTTTAATTCGCCGAAAATCTCTTCTCAGCAAGCTTTCTTTTAAGATCTGAGAACAGGAAACAGTCGCCGGGAACAGATCTGGAGAATATGGTGGATGCGGGAGCAATTCAAAGCTAAATTCATTTATTTTCGCCATCGGTTTCCCTGACCTGTGACACGTCTTGGTGAAACAGCACTTCTTTCTTTAAATGCGCCCGTTTTTCGACAATTTCGTCCATTAAGAGGTTCAATAACTTAATGTAATATGTTAAAACGCAATAACTTTACTTCCAATCGAATCTCACTGAACAATCGATAAATATAGCAGATTCTAACGCACCAGTCGACATATAGATGGCGCCGTCTGGGGGCGCTAGATTCCTGTTTACTTTGGAACACACCTTGTAGATTCGGATTCCGTCTTTAAACGCGTTTTCGCGAAACTGAGTTTTTGAAGTCGGCTGGCAAGATTTCTCGAAAAATACTCAACAGATCTTCATGAAATTTTACATAGGTCTTTGAGATATAATTCTTAAGACTTGGAGTTTTTTTCGACTACAACTATTTGAAAAAAAATTTCGCGAAATTTCCACTGAATTTTTAATTTTTTTTTTTTTTTTKTWAAAATTTYTKCCAAACATYTTWTTWTYTKTTTTTTTATTCTTCGTTCAAGTTCTAAACTAAGGTTTTAACTAAAACACTTATATGACACTTTGGATAATCCTGTAGTTATGCTGCCAACGCGGACGCATCTTTTTTCAGAGGGGTTATCGAAAATGGCGTCGCAATGGCCGAGTTTAAAATATTTTTTTTTTTTTTAATTTTCGAATTTCTTTGTTAATGGTGTATGTTTGTAACAATAAAAAACAATTTTATTCAAATTTTTTATGAGAAAAAACCCCGTTAAAAGGTCAGTTTTTTACCCGAGGAAACCTGTGTAATTCCTTAAATTGCCATAATCTTGCCTAGAAAGCCGCAATGTTGCAAATTTTCTGTGCACAGCTGTAGTTGCTATTTTATTACGTTTTACTGACATCTTCTTAAAGCAGAAAACGCTGTGCTTGTATTGTTTTTGCACTATTTTTGCATGGGTGCTGTCATGCAAATTTAAAAATGCAAGTCATCTTCGAGCAACGAAAAAGCTCATATTTTGAGACATTTGTTGAAAACCGCAAACGCAAATGACGCAGCAAAAAACGGGTAAGGTCCTTAGACATAAAACAAAGCTACTACAAGCGTCCCAGAATAACCATTAACTGTAAACTATATGACCGTAAAAAACCTCAGCAGCAATGTTAGGCTTTAGAATGTAAGAATTTACCAGGAGATGAAATAAAAATATCGATAACAGCTAAAATGAGTCAACTGACCGAATTGTAAGCCAAATATTTGTGGTGACAACTTAAACGTGATAAAATAAACTGACAAGTCATCCGAGTGAAGCAACGACACGAGATATACATTGTGACCAAACAGCACCTGGAAATTGTAATTAAATTCCACGGGTGAATGATATTTCAAAAAAATGTATTTTGCTAAGTTGATAGAACTTTTCTTTACTACTGTGCCAAATATGAATTTGCTTACAGCAGTTACTTAAGTCAAAAAATAAAAATATCGAACAAATAATTTGTCGCAAATTTTGTATTTCTAATCAAATTTCGTGTGCGAAATCGTTGCGAATGTTGGAAAAGCTTACACAAGCATAAGTGTGGTATAAAGCCTACAAAGACGGTCGTTAAAGACATGCCTCGTTCTGGAAGATCTTCGAACTCTTCAACTGATGAACATATTAAAAAAGCGAAGTACATAGAGCTTGAAAATCGTTAGGCTAGTATTAGAGAGACGGCAAGAGCTCAACATCCCTCGCGACTTCATCCGAATGGTATTAAACTCGTTCTTGATCGACTCGTCTCGATGAAGCTGAATTTTTTTCAAAAAGTACCGCAAAAAAGTCTCCTTGGACATACTATACTTGACCGTGCGAATTCCGATCCCACATTCATGAAGAGCATTATAACTGCCGATTAGACTTGGGTTTATGAGTTTAACATGCAAAGAAGTCAGCAAATTACGGAATTGAACCCGTTTTTGGTCGATCGAAGAGATAAAACAAAATTCGCCGAAGGAGCTGAAGGTCATCCCAAAAAGTGCTTATGAAAAGTGTTTCGATTACTGAAAAAATCGTTGGCACAAGTGTTTTACATGGATCCTGATCACTTTGAAGGCGACAAAATAAATATTGTTGTATCCGGGTACTTTTTTGTCACAATGTATATCTCTATAAAAACATATAATTCAATATTTATAATTTAAAGCTAGTGTTAAACTTTCAAAAACATGTAGCTGATAACGTTAAAGGGGTATTCACACGACAATTGGTATACAATTAAATCCAAATTTACCTGGTGAATTGTAGAATTTCTGGGACTAACAGCTGACAACTTTTGTGGAGGTACTTTATCTAATAAAAATTATTCTTATTTATTATTTGTATGGCAGTTATAGTAGTTCGATGTCGGCGGTTCCCAGAAAAAAGGATTATTGGAGAGAAAAGGACGATTTCAGTTTGGCATTCCAAAAACTGAAGGATTAGTTCACGTATATACAAATGGACATGGCTAAACCGACACCGCTCATCACGCTCATTATTTATATATATACCATACTTTATCTGGACCCTGACGCTTCCTACTGGTTGTTGAATACTTTGTGTAAAGCTTAATACAATACCCTCTTCAGGCTGTAAAATTGATCAGTTTTTTGTTTATAAAGACATAAAATAGCACTCAAATTATTGTAGCCCTTTCAACATGCTGTGTTGTGAATACCCCTATTGTATTTTTAAGATATCTCTTAGAGACAAGCTATAAAACGCCATCACTGACGACATAAGATTTCAGTGATTAAACACAACATTTAAAACAGTGGCGCCCGAAAGAAAGTGGATATAAAAATATGTTTCTGTTGCTCTTAACTACCGCCTGTGCGCTTGCGTTATTTTACATCAAATGGACCTACACATATTGGCAACGCAAGGGCTTCCCCTATCACGAGCCGAAGATACCCTTTGGTGTGCTGGATGCTGTACGTAGACGTAAATCTTCCTTGGGCACTGCCATCTACGATGTTTATCGCAGTAACAAGGATAAAGTGTTGGGCATCTATTTAATTACACGACCAGCTTTGCTGGTGCGCGATGCGCAACTAGCAAGAGATATATTGTCGAAGGACTTTGAAAGCTTTCACGATCGTGGCATACATGTAGACGATGAGGAGGATCCGCAATCAAGGGGTGGCATTTTCTTTCTTAAAGGACAGGATTGGCGGAGTCTGCGCATAAAGCTGGCACCCTCCTTTACGTCGGGAAAATTGAAGGGCATGTTTGACAAAATCGAGGATGTAGGAGATAGAATGGTGAACTTCTTGAATATGCAGCTGACTGATGGAGGCGTTAAAGAGTTTGAAATGAAGCATGTAATGGGCACGTGAGTTGTATATTTGGAATTTTTGGCATAATCTTTGATCAGTTTGTGCAAACATTTTGGAAAGAAAAATTATTAATTCTAACAAGTTTCAACGGCATTTCTTCCCAAAATAAATGCACACATAACTTTATATTTTCAGCTATTCCATTGACATCATTGCATCGGTGATTTTCGGACTGGACGTGAATAGCTTTGTTGAGCCAAGCAATGAATTACTAAATGTGAGCCGAAAAGTCAACGAACCCACTTTGGGCAGTGTGGTGCGCGGCACCTGCCAGTTTCTATATCCCAGGTAGGAAGAGAAAGAAGTGTGCTTAATAAGAATGTATGTGTAGAGGCTGGCATCGCTATCTATAACTTGATAACGTTGAACAATTTAATATATTTCTTAGCATTAACAGTCTTATAGATTTAAGTCTGCAAACATTTCTTTTAATAATTCCTTAAATATTATTAAGTGAGATTAACGTCGGAGAACTAGTTTACGTGAGTGATGGGAAAATGTGGGAGTGTTTCCGAAAATGATTGAAACAAAACGATTTTAATATCGATAACAAATGCTTTGTGGGCAAAATGTGTAGAAATAAGAGAGGGTATGGTGCCCTTAAACTGCAGTTAAATAAAGTTCATTTCATATGGAAGCGATTTTTTTATTATGAAAAATGAAAGAAAGCGGTTTTCTAACTTATCTCTCTCCATAGTTTGGAAAAGCTCTTCATACGTTTGGGTTGGCGTGAAGAGGCGCCCAATATGATGAGAGAAATCGTTAAGCGGACTATAGAAATGCGCGAGGAGCAGAATATTTCACGCAAGGATATGCTTCAACTGCTCATGCAACTGCGCAACAAAGGTCAAATTAGCGTTGATGACAACGATTGGTCGGCAAAAGCGACTGACAAAGGTAAGTTTACACAGCCGAAAGTTATTGTAATATGTACTTTCAATTTACGCCCATTCTACAGTTGTGCCGAAACCCATGTCCATTGAAATAATTGCCACCAATCTATTTCTTTTCTACGTGGCTGGTTATGAAACGACTGCCACTATCGCCTCGTTTACGGCATTTGAATTGGCGCAATCGCCGATTGCAATGGCGAAAGCACAGCGCGACGTAAGGGCAGCACTCGCGAAACACGATAACGAATTCACATATGTCGCAGTACAAGATATGAAATATCTGGATCTCTGCATAATGGGTAAACGTTTATTAAATTCCTACAATAAATATTTTTATACATTTAAAGTGATTTTTGTTTTTTGTAGAAACAACACGGAAATATCCCGGACTACCGATACTCAATCGTCAATGCACACAGGACTACCCGCTGCCAGATAGTGATTTGGTGATCAAGTGTGGTACACCGATTATTATTTCACTGCTGGGTATACATCGTGATGAGAACTACTTTCCAGATCCCATGCATTGGGAGCCAGAACGATTTTTGAATGGAAAATATGAGCCCGCCGCCTTTATGCCATTCGGCGCAGGTCCCAGACATTGCATCGGTAAACCAAATAAGTAGTGTTTATAACTTTTTGGAATAATATTTAATATTTTTCACTTTTGAACAGCCCAACGTTTGGGTCGCATAATCGTAAAGGTCGCTTTAGCGAAATTGCTACTCAACTTTAATGTTGAATTGAATTCTGAGCGAAAAGAAATCGAAATCGCTAACTTTGGTGTGCCGATTATGGCCAAAGGTGGCATAAATGTACGGTTATCGAAGCGAAATCGGACACCAGGCGCATAAATCGAAGCTGTTGGGAAACGGTTAATATCTATACTACTTACAACCTTTTACATAAGTCACGAGAAATAAAGAGTTGCCGACAATCCAATAATTCTCTTTGAATAATTAAAGAAGGAAGAAAAAGAAGAAGAAAGCGTCATTGTTCTGTGGGCGTTATGTTTGTTTTCTTCATATTCTAAAAGTATACTGAATGTATAGTATATGGTTTTGCAAACTGAAACCGTGCTGCCAGACTTTTATTTGTAGAACGAGTTTTCGGGTTGTGTTGAGATCTGCAGATTTTGATCCTCTCAAATGTGTAAATTACGACCTCATTTATGAAAACATTGTTATATTATTATACTGTTATTTTGGAGAAAACAAAGAAACATCAAATTTAATGGGCGAATGTTTATTATCCTTCGAAATAAGATTCTTTGCCATTTATTTTTTGAATTGTCTCTTGCAAATGTTGGTTGCGGCTATGTCTCAGATAGTCCATCCGTTGAGTCTAATTTTCGATGATTCTTTCGAGCATTTCGTCTGTTAACTGGCGAAAGACTTTGCTCCAAGGACTGAATCAAAGCGGAATTTCCCGCTAGACTTTCGACATTAAATATTCCCACAGGAAAAGTCTAACGATGTGATATCACACGATCTTTGTAGCCATTCGACCGGCCAAAATGTGAAATTATCTGCACACCGAAATGTTCTTTCCATTGATTGATGCGACATGGTGTCGTCTTCTTGAAACCAAATGTTGCAGAGATTATAAGCTTCAACTTCAGGCAACTACAAGTCGGTTATCACTACATTTTCACGGCATCATTTTTTGAAGAAATATGGACCGATGATTCCATCGGCCCACAAATCCCATCAACCCGTTGTTTTTTCTGGTCTTGAATATCTTCAGGTTACTCTTCGCCCTATTGAGCCAGAAATGGGAGTCATCGCCTAACAAAATTTAGCTCGAAAAGGTCGAATCTGTTTCCAACTTTTCAAAAGCTCATATTGCGAAGCGATTTCGCTTGGGAAGCGTTGCTTTTGTATGCTTTCAATTGAAGATCTCAACGAAAAAGGCGCGAATTCGTTCCATACGTCGTTCGGCGAACGGCGCCGCAACGCCTCTCCACGGTCTTCATGTACATTCACAACTACGACTCCTTTATTTTCTTCACTGCTCGCTGGACGCACTCTATTCGAGTATATATGAGTAATGGTGTTGCGAATAGTACTCTCACTAGGCCGATTATGTTGACCATAACTTGAGCGAAACGCGCGAAACACATTCTTTACAAAACGTGAATTTTCGTAATAAATTTTAAAGATTTGTAAACATTTTTCAGGTGTATGTCTTTCTATGATGAAATGCCAAACAATACTGAGCAAAAATAACATGACAGCTCGATACGACTGGATCACCCGTTATATCCAAAATATTGTACCTAAGGCAACAAAACCAATGTAGACTAGTGTTATTATGGTTTAATGTTGGGCTAATAGTTTGGATACGTGGATTTTAATTATCATCTCAGCTCTTCGTCGATTTTTTTTAAGTTTGAGAAACGATGTTGCATCGTGTGTCTAGTAATATGCCTAGCATGTTTTATCGTTAATGTGATTATTCCTGATAAGTGAATAAAAAATAGAGTTTAAGGTACTTTTGCATCACTTAAAATCATTTTGCATTCTACGCAGATTTCAAATTAGATATATAGATAGATGTCGACGTAGATTTGCCAAAGCACTCCTACTATTTTGATAACAGCTGTATACCATCATATTATATAATACATAAAATGCTGAATAATTTAGCAAGTGAAGATAACAAACATAAGAAATGAGCTGAAACAACTATTAAAATCAATAAAAATATTACAATTAGAAAAAATATTGATAACGGCATTGAGTGTATTCACGTTGTAATAAATGCAATGAGCATACTACTTTGTACAAAACAGCTAATGATGTACTCAAACTGAGAGAAAATATGTAGGTTAGAAAACTTTTGAATGTTTTATCGTTAATGTGATCATTCCTCCTCGCAGGGTTGTTTTCTTTTTTTTCCTTTACTGTATGCAATATATAATAATATAAATTCAAAAAAAGATTTAAAAATAAAAAGATAATAACGGTCATTAAGAGCGCAAAAACGGTTTGGGATATCAATGAAATTCTTTATTGCTGTGAAAGTACATTTGATGACATTATGTATGGAACTCGATTCCTTTTGCATTACTACCACGGCCACGCTTGCTGACGATGAACCCAATTTTCGACGGTTTTCAAGCATAATTCAGATGATACTATTGCAATTTCCCGTTTGATATCGTATCGACGTTCATTAATCATCGTTGGCTTGTTGGCATAGACAATAGATTAGACATACAGCATCAAATCGCACGACCGAGGTGGCCAATTTGGTGAGATAACACGTTCACCAAACTTGGTTTTCAATAAATCGTTTGTGATCATTCGCTGTTTGGCTTGTGGCACTGTCCTGTTAGAACCACATATTGCCAAGTACATATCATCCAATTCGGACCAAAAATATTTTGCTATCATTGGGCGGTAGCAATTCCCATTCACAGTAACGTGCCGGTCTTGTTCATCACGAAAGAAGTGCGGCTAATGATGCCGCCGGCCCTTAAACCGCACCAATAATTTATTTTTTTTTTACTCAAAGAGTATGGATTGCTGCCTGACCAATAACGCATATTTTGCTTATTGGCGTAGCGGTTTAGCTAGAAGAGAGCCTAATTGCTGAAGATGATTTTCGATAAAAATCCGGATCATTTTCAAATTGTTGCACGTCATCGTTTGCATAATGAAATGGCAAAGTCAATTTCGAGTAAAATTAAAATTAATTGATTTTTTTTTTTTTTTTTTTTTTTGAATTTTCAATTTCATATGTCCGTACCCCGTAAGACCTTAGTTTCTTCTAAGGACCCTCGTTGTATTAAGAATTGATTTTGAAATGCGTTCAGCATAAATGAATACCCCTACATAATATATGTAAGTAATGTATGTATAAGTACAAAGAGATTTTATATAATAAAGTATTTTCTTATCAACAGCTATAAAAGGAAGCAAAAAAGTGTTATAATTTCAGTTCCCTGAGCGCGTTTTACATTAGTTATTGCGGCAAATTTGTTTTGTATCGAAATATGTTTTTATTACTGCTAATAACCGTTTGTACACTTTCGTATTTTTATGTTAAATGGATTTACACATTTTGGAAACGGAAAGGCTTTCCTTACCTTGAGCCAAAAATACCATTCGCAGTGTTAGATCCAGTCTTTAAACGTGAAGCAGCATTGGGCACTGCCATTCTCGATGTTTATCGCAAAACAAAGGATAAAGTTTTGGGCATCTATCTAATTACGCGACCCGTTTTATTAATACGCGATGCGCAATTGGCGAGAGATATATTGACGAAACATTTTGAAAGTTTTTACGATCGTGGCATACATGTAGATGATGAGGATGATCCGCAATTCAGTGGTGGCTTGTTCTTTCTTAAAGGACAGAAGTGGAAGAGTTTGCGAGTGAAAATGACACCGTTATTTACGTCGGGAAAATTAAAGGCCATGTTTGAAACCGTCGAGGAAGTGAGTGATAGAATGGTCAACTATGTGAATATGCAGCTACTTGATGTTGGCTCAAAAGAACTGGAATTTCGGCATGTAATGAGCACGTGAGTATATAAATTGTAATCTTGAGCATGTGCTTCAACATTGCATTTCGTTAGTTTTGAAGTGTGAACGTGACTTTATGCTAATACAGTACGAAAAAGTGCAGTGATGCATTTTTAATTTAATATATTAATTTTCCAGCTTTGCGATAGACATCATTGCTTCGGTGTTTCTGGGTTTAGAGGTGAACAGCTTTGAAGAACCAAATAATCCCATATTGCAAATAAGAGACAAATTGAACGAGCCAACATTCAGCAGTGTATTGCGCGGTACAGCTCAATTCCTATTTCCCAGGTGAGCAATTTTTCTCTATTAATAAAATTATTGAAATATAAAAATATTTATTTTAAACGGGAATTAATTTATAATAAAATGTGAAAACTGTCGTGCTATCAGTTAAGTAGTAAATTATTTCATTAAGACAATTTTAATTTGGCGCACTTGAATACAAGTAGCGGAGATAAGATTTTGTTTATTATTGTTTTCACTTCTGAGACTTGTAGTAGGTGATAGAGTTCACTTTGTCTATCAGAAAAATCTTTTTCTTCTATCGGCGATGAAGATCAGTTACTGTACTATGAGCAAATAGTAGTAAGACTTTGTAAAAATTTTAAAATTCGTGAATTATTCTACAAAATCTATGCSGTACAATCGTACTTACACTTTTCTTAAGCCCAAATGATCTATCAAAATTATTTTCACTGATCCTTTCGATATTCCAACGATGGCKGTAAGATCTCGGACTATTTTTGTCGATTCTCAAGCGCTAATTTCTTTATTTTATTGATTAAATTYTTTACAACAACTCATAAATTGTTTTTTTTACTTCTATATAACTAACTATAGTTTGGAAAAGCTCTTCATACGTTTGGGTTGGCGCGAAAAGGCACCCGAAATGATGAGAGAAATCGTTAAGCGGACTATAGAAATGCGCGAGAAGCAGAATATTACGCGCAAAGACATGCTTCAACTGCTCATGCAACTGCGCAACAAAGGTCAAGTCAACGACAATGATAATGATTGGTCTGCTAAAGCGACTGACATTGGTACATAAGTGCATGTTTTATTTGCTGAACCTAGCAATACTGTATTTGCGTATTCTCCCTCCTCCTATATTTACAGATGCAGCGAAGCATATGTCAATTGAAACCATTGCGTCCAATTTGRTACTTTTTTATGTGGCTGGTTATGAGACAACGGCGTCCACCATTTCGTTCACCGCCTTTGAATTAGCGCAATATCCAGAAGCGCTGGAAAAGGCACAGCGTGACGTGAGAGATGCGATTGAAAGGCATGACAATAAGTTTACTTACGAAKCGATACAGGATATGAAATATCTGGATCTCTGCATAATGGGTTAGATTTAATTGAAGATCTTTTATGTCAATCTATAAGCATTTAAAGTGAGTTTTTTGTAGAAACTACACGCAAATACCCTGGACTGCCGATTCTCAATCGCCAATGCACACAAGACTATCAACTACCTGATAGTGATTTGGTAATCAAAAATGGTACACCAGTTATTATTCCGTTATTGGGTTTTCATCGTGATGAAAAATATTTCCCGGACGCTATGCGTTGGGATCCAGATCGAATTTTRAATAAAAATTACGATCCCGTCGCTTTTATGCCATTCGGCGAAGGACCCAGACATTGCATCGGTAATTCAATAGTTTTTTCACGGATTTATGAATTTTATTATTTAATAAACTAATATCTGCTTACTTTCAACAGCACAACGTATGGGCAGGGTTAATGCAAAAGTCGCCTTGGCGAAGTTGTTGCTCAACTTTAATATCGAATTAAATCCTGTTCGAAAGGAAATCGAAATCGCTAACTATGGCGTTCCAATTATGCCCAAAGGTGGCATAAATGTGCGATTATCCAAGCGAAATAAAGATACACAATAAGAATATGTAAATTGAATTTGCTTGAGATTGGTTAAACATATTTAATATCTTAAAGGACTATAAAAATAAAATAAAATAAATAAATTTGATATTATAAAGTGATAATTGTGGTACTAAATAATAACACAAAACAACAAATCGGAAGGAAAATTTTAAGACTGACGTCCTAAGAAGTATGTGGGGGGCTGGGATTTAGAGTCCGTTGTTGTTTAACGTGAGTTCCTGCCTGCGAAGGCCTAACCCACGGTGCTTTCTATTGCTAGAAGCACATAGATCAAAACAATGCGTTGATCAGCGCTCCAAAACACGAGTGCATGCACCTGCACCATACTCTGGAGAAACAAAGCATGAGTGCCGCCACATACACTTATACCTTGGTTCCAATTGGTTTGGGTGGGCGTAAAACACCCTAGCCACCTTGGTCGGGTACGATTCCCATCTAAACTTCTCTTCTGGCAGCCACCACGAATCTCCAGAAAGGGCCAAAAACCCAATGAGCAGATTGGAGTTACCTCCAAGGGCTGACTGCTCCCCGTGGTACCATGTTTTAATCTTTGGTGTGACTTGTAGCTCTCGCTACTGTGAATTGAGCCCAAGAACTCATAAGAATTCTAAAGAACTCAACTGTATGATAACAAGGTGTCTCGTAAATCCATTCGTAAATGAAATCGTAAACGAAAACACGGTCAAATACCAGGAATAAATAGAGTATACAATAATCATTTTTTTACGATGAATACTATAGCACTACAGCAAAATATAAGTATAAAATTCATTATAAATGGGAGAAACACGCATTTCAAATAGTTGATTTTTGAACTTTAAATGCAAATATCTCAAAAACTATAAGTCAGCGGCAACTACATATATACGTACATACCCATCTAAACGCTGAAATTGGGGAATGCTATTCTAAAATTTACCACAAAAAATTGTAGGTGCTAGGACATTTTTACTATCATTTTCCTTTTTTAGCAACTGAAAATTAGCATGAAACTGCCTTTAACTCCATCTAGTAATTAACCATCTCTAGATATTAACCATCTTTAATATCTAAGGGATAGTAAAGCACCGAAGCTATAATACCCTACACTGTTGTATTTTTTTTTTTCTCGCAGAAAAGGATATAAAAAGATCTTTACATTTGATCTGGCTGCATTGCAGATGCAGTAGATAATAATCCATGCCAAATTTCCTGAAGATATCACGTAAAATCAAAAAGTTTTCCATACACGGACGAGCTGTTTATTGACCAGTTTGTGTGACTATAGTGGTGCAACCTGAAGCATTTCTTTGGAGATAGTACCGTTGCATTGGCCAATGATTTATGCCAAATACACCAACCCATCATAACAATCGTACTATGAAACACACAATAATTGGCTTTATAAAAATATTTGCACAAACTTATTTTGAATGAACATCACTGATGATTGTCTATTTATGTTGTTGAATGCGAATTAAAAATCGATAAAGATAAGTTGGTTAATCGACAAAGAAAAACAGCTGTTTCCATGTAAATTTTAATTCACAACACAAACATGAATTGTCAATCTTAAATGCTTATATGAATGTATGTGTGCTAATTGGAAATCCTTAGCTTATATTTTAATACTCGAACTGTTTCATATACATTAAGCCCATTTAAGCAACCGTATGAATAAGCTTACACCGGCATATCGCTAGGAAGCATGCAGCAAAGACCCAAAGTTTAGTTAAATAAAATGTGGTCTGTATGCACATATTATATAAATTTAGCAACGTTTGGATCAAAAATATGATCATTAGAACAAAAATACAAATGACTTTCACCTACCTTATCACAAAGATTGTTCAATTTATTGCAATAATTTCCTCGCTATTGCAAACGCACTCAATACAAACACTAACACTTTTTTCGCTGCGACGACGATTTAGTTGACTTTACCGGCGCTCTTACGTGTGTTAAAGCGAGATGTCTGCTGGTGCTTGCATTTGTTTGTTTTTATTTTCATAGGCTATACAACAGAACCGTCAAAATAATTCTTATGCAAAATGTAGACATTTAATAATAATCTTCCAGTTCAACTGTAAGTGGACACGTTTTTATGCAAGAACATTTAGTACATTTCTCACTGAAACAAAAACTATTCGCACCAAGTCAAATATATAAGATATGGTTAGAATCGTAAGAGATATTTAATTGCAATTAAGAGCTAACAGCGACGTCAACACCGACAGCGACGCGACGACGGATACACAGACGGCCTTTGCAACTATGACTATGACGACGAGCTACCAATCGAGTGCACTTTTTCAACACACGTTTATGGTCTCAAATAATATTAACTGCACTAGCACTGTGTCAAATTATTGAAATTCTATTGATTTTTTTAGATTTGCGAGTATTTTACGCGCATAAATACGCAAAATTTCACCAGTAAGTCGCTATTCTCGCGGAAGCAACGAAACGAGACGACGTCGATAGGAAAGTTCGCCCAGAGCTGCCAAATTTCGTAACACATGTAAAACCAACACGCCTACAAATAATGACAACGAATTTAAAAGTAATCGATAAGAAGTATTTATCGATCTGATTGGAAAGAAATGAACAAACTTTTTCGACATAACCGAAATAATACTCAAAAGTAGAATTTTCATTAAAACATCAGAAGATGCTAGATTTTTTAACAATCGAAATTTTCAGTTTAAGGCCCTTAATATTTATTTTGTTACAACTATAATGAATGTCAATGAAAATTAATATATTTAACAAATTCGCTAAGTACTGGTTAACTAAGTAGCTCATTAATTATTGTCAAAGGATTTTCTTGTATACTTACCATATTTGATATAAATTTGTTAATGTTTTTTTAACTATATATTGTCAAAGAAATAAATCAACCCTGTAATACGATGAGAAAAAGTTGAGTAAAAGAAAATGTTAAAACTGATGTGTAGGTAAAAGAAAATTTTCATAGACACGGTCAAGGGAATCAAGAAAAAGTTTTTTGCAGGTATAAGATATATATTCAACATAAAGACGGATTAGCTAACACCATTTTAATGTACATAGATAACTAATAAAAGTGCGAGTACGCCTTTAGGATTGTTTAAAGATTTCAATACTAGCCCTTCGGTTGCTGGTAGAACTTCGTTGCATCTCGGTTACCAGTCGTCACTTGGAGGGGTGCTGATTTAAAATTTAGTAATATTAAACAATAATTGCAAGTTAATCAAATATCACCAGGTAGAAACAGGTATACAGCTAAAATGGATGGGAATAAAGATGAAGCGCATCGCTGCATTGACATAGCGGTGCAAGCCTTTGCCGAGGGTAAAATGGAAAAAGCAGAAAAGTTCTTGCTGAAAGCGGAAAAACTATTCCCTACTGAACGTGCTAAAGGTGAAAAAATTACAAAAACAAATATCTATAATTTGGATTTCTAATAACATTTACGTTTTTAATTGCCTCAGAACTCTTGTCCAAAGTAAAGGCTGGCGCAACTACTGGGGGAAACAGAAGTAGTAACAGTGGAAACGTAAATGGCTCTCCACACCGTAACGGTGCGTCTAATGGTAATGGTCCACGTCAACGCAAGAACTCTGACTCACGTCATGTGGAGCCTGAATATACGAAAGAGCAATTAGAGGCCGTACGAAAAGTTAAAGGGTGAGTATTGATTTTTATAAAGTATGTTGTGAATTTAAACTGATAATTGTAAAATTGTTTCAGTTGTCGGGATTACTATGAAATCCTAAGTATTACCAAAGAAGCAACGGATTCCGAAATTAAAAAGTCTTATAAAAAGCTGGCCTTACTACTCCATCCTGACAAAAATAAGGCACCCGGCGCTTCTGATGCTTTCAAAGCAGTGGGAAATGCTGCAGCTATTCTCACGGACGCTGAAAAACGTAAACAATATGATTTGTATGGTATTAATGAGACAAACTCCAGTGGTCATGGTGTACGCAGAGACAATTACGAATATGCTTATGCGCGTGGTTTCCAGGCAGAGGTTAGCCCGGAAGATCTATTCAATATGTTCTTCGGTGGAGGTTTCGCCCAACAGAATGTTTACATGCGTCAACAGCGACGTAGACAACAGCATCGCGATGATGGCGAAGTAAGTGTGAATTTTGATTGCGAACATGAAACTTTATTTATCTTTTTACGCACTGCTAACAGAATCAATCAAACTCTTCGGCACTAATCAACTTTTTGCCTATACTGTTATTGATCGCATTATCGATGGTATCTTCATTTTTCATATCGGACCCTATTTATAGTTTGTCGCCATCACAGTGAGTAAAAAAGATAGACAAAAATTGAAAAGCATATTTATTAATACATGCACAATTCCAAAATATATATTAAAATAAATTTGTTTTTCGTAGAAAATATGTTGTGAAACGTGAAACAAACCGTCTGAAAGTACCCTATTATGTGAAGAACAACTTCCATTCTGAATATCAGGGATCTGTTGGGCGTTTGGAAGAGTCAGTGGAGGAAGACTATATAGATCACCTAAAGTATTCTTGTAGTCGTGAACGCAACTACCGTAAGTCATTGCAACTTAATCATTATTTGTGAATAATGCCAAAGTTGGTTTACGTTTTTGTGTTTTCAGGTGACTCTATGTTGGCCAAGGCTCGCTCATTTGGCGATCGCGATCTCTTCCGCAAGGCGCAAGATATTAAGATGAATTCTTGTGACAACCTACAAAATTATTTAAATACGTAGTTTATCTTGACTGCTTAAACGGTGGATTGTCTTTGTTATTGTTTTAATTTCGTTATTTAAAAAATTTTACCCAAAAATACAAAGCACGTAAGCTCATAAAAATTTAACTATGTATAATAATTTACGAAGATAACGATGAAATAATATTTACAAAGAAATATGTAATTACAAACACTAAACGATTTTAAGCTAATATTGCGGTATTTTTGGTTTTCATATCCATATGTAGGTGCTGAATCATGCATGCATATAAATATATAGTATAATAAACGTATAAACTCGCTACTATATTTAAAGTGGGAAATAAAATTGATTTCAAAATAAATGCGGAAATAAAAAAAGCTTGTTATTATTTCCTGTATGACGTTGTTATTGTCATGGACATTTAAAGGTGGGATTATCCAACACTGAAGTGAAAATGTGCTCAGAAAAAAATATATTCGTAGCATGACATTTTATTATTATTATTATTTTTTTCATTTAATTTTTACAAAATATTAATAGTACGGACAATTGTATTCATGTGTTTTAACAGCGAGAAGGATATTAGTTAGCGATTATTGCCTCTAACGCCGCAACTACATCACCACTTTGTTCACGCAGCACTTTCTCTGCTTGTGTGCGTGATATTAACATTTCATTCATCTATAAGAAAAATACATTAAAGAATAAAAACATATTCGCCTTTCATATCGACTCACAATCAGTTCAATGTCCTCTTTTTTGACATGCACTTTCAGCAGCTCCATCTCTTTGGCCACCTTACGTTCATCTTCTTTGCTGCGTTTGTTTCCGATTTGCTCTACTGCCTATTATTACCAATTGTTAATATTTTAAATAAATTTTGTTAGCAAATTATTAATGTCCACTCACACTGGATATGTGCGCTGCTGAAATTTCCTTCTCCTCCGCATAATCTGTAACACGCTCTAAATCGGCTGCACCACCGTCGTGACGAGTTTGTTTCTTTTGCTTTTTGTCCTGCACCTCCTCCTCGGTGCCGTTAATTTCAGTTTCAGACATTATCGATGTAAATTTTATTAAACTAATTTGATATAAATTTCTTTACTGTAAAATGTGCGAAATTGTTAAAGGAATCACAGCAGAAAAGGAAGGTAGAAATGTCATCCCGGTGTCTAGTGAGCATAAGAAAAACTTGTAGACTTTCTGATGATGTTTCATAATATTTTGAACATATACCTTGAGGGTCCAACATTTTTTAAACTGAATATATACATTATTTTAAACTATAAGAATACATTTTTACATTTTTTGAACACATTGCGTATTCGATTTAACAAATCAATAAAAGATATAGTCGAAATATAAACATTATATATATTTATTTATTTACCAGCAAATGGCAACTTTATTTTTTGCAAAAAAATGGCAGCATTGAAAATGTGTTTTTGACAGTTGGAGACTTTTTTGATATCCCTTTAAGCATAGCTTCATTCATTTCATTCGCGTTATCTATGCATTCGCTTCGGAAAAGTTTTTGTGAATTCTAGTGTGCTACTGCTGAATTTTTTATATCATAAAAGAAATTGAAATATACTTTAAATACAGTATATTTTTGCAAAAACTTGTAATTAAAAGGTTTGTATTACTCGCTAAAGTAAATTAAATTTTGTACAATACGCGTAATACTGGAAAACGTGTTGGAAAAATTTTGCAAATTCTTCCGCCGAATGTTTTTTCCACAAGCTGTCGTTTCAAGATGGCGGATATGTAAAAAACCGCTTCGATAAATGCGTAGAATTTGCGAAAAGAAAACATTATATTACATATTTTAATAGAATTTTCCTTTTTTTTTTATAACATTACAATTTGAATTTTTTAATATTTGGATAAATTTCAATATTGGAATGTTAGCGTCGTGTTGCGTGAATGTGGCGGTGGAACACCACCGGCGTGTATTATCGATTACTTTTACCGAAAGATCTCAAACTCACACTTCTTGATTTGAAGCAAAATTATGGATTTAAAATTAAATAATCAACAATATTTGTTTTATAGTTAAATTCACTTAAAAAATGGCAACTGACGCACAAACCAACAACGAGGATTACTCGCAAGAGTACGGAGATGATGACAACAGCCAAGAATATGATAACGATCAACAAGAAGGTGATGAATATGATGATCAAGATGAAAATGATGATGACAATGAGCAAAGTCAGGATCAGACCAGTATTGGTGGTGATGGTAGCGGTGGTGGTAATAACAGTAACTCTTCCGGTCCAAAATACATACGTTTAAGAGGGCTACCATGGTCGGCAACTCATAAAGAAATCTTAAATTTTCTAAAGAATGTAAATGTGGTTAATGCCTCGAAGGGTATACATCTTATCACCAGCCGTTGGGATGGCAAAAATACAGGCGAAGCATATGTTGAGGTACAAAGTCAGGATGATGTTGAAGAAGCGCGAAAATTAAACAAAGGCTTAATGGGACATCGTTACATTGAAGGTGAGTTAATAAAACAAAAGCACACATTTTTTTCTATAGTTTTATATGCTACTATTTAATTCTCAGTATTCACTGCTAACCCTAAAGAAGCCAAAGAAGCCATGCGTAAAACTGGCAGTCATGGCATGTCATATGTTGTTAAACTACGCGGTCTGCCATATGCGGTCACTGAGCAGCAAGTCGAAGAATTCTTTAGTGGTGAGTAAAATTTCTTAGTTATTTTGACGTTATAGTGTTTAATATTGAATACTTGCATAGTTGGTTTTTTTTTATTTTTTTTTTAGAAATACATAATATACTTATGTTTTGTTATAAATATGGTATCCATCATTAAATCAGTTGTTTGGGATGTTTAAAATATTATCTCGCAACATTAATATAAGACCTTGTACGTAAATGTATGTAGGTGCAAGCAATTTTGCAAATCCACATGTATTTATAATTTTCAATTGCAACAACATAGTTTTTTTTTTTTAATATTAGCGAAGTAAATTCGTAAAAATGCATTAACAAATAATATATTCTAGTTAGATCACTTATTTTAGTTTAGGCAGAAGCGTATTTCAATATTCGTTTATCTCCATTTGAAACCACAAAAATATATTTATATACAATCAAACTTGGACGCACTACCACCTTTCAAAATAGCAAACAAACTGCGTTACAACATTTGCCGCAATAATGATGATTTTTTTATAAAGAAAAACAAAAAAAACAAAAAAAAAAATACAACAAATTTATGTATTGAATTGAAAGAATTCTTAATATTTGGTTGTTATCGTCATGGGCAGGGTTGGAAATCAAACCGGATCGGGAGGGGATACTTTTTGTTATGGACAAAAGGGGTCGTGCGACTGGGGAAGCTTTTGTTCAGTTCGAAAGCCAGGATGACACTGAACAAGCCTTGGGACGTAATCGGGAAAAGATTGGGCACAGGTGGGTTGTCACTCTAATTTTCATTGTCTCAAATAATAAACAACATACTTCTCTATTAAATAATACAATAAATATGTACAATATACATTTGACTTTTTTATAGGATATTTTTGCTCTGCAAATTGTTTGATAAGATGTGAGAAACTTTCAAGTGCAACACGAAAAAGTCGTGTTTTTATATTTTATGCTTTCGAAAATGTATGTTACGTGACGTTGTGAAGTGAATATTTTCAAGTTAATTTTTCTATTTTTAATGTAAATTATTTTTCTTCATTTCTGAGATTGTTTCTCTTTACTTCCTTATATTTATATATATTAATAAATGTTTATAAGACATGGTCTCTGCTTTTGTAACCTTTTGAATACCATTACTAATTATTTTACCACAAAATTATATTTTCATATAATCCATTTAGCAAAAGAATATGCTTTTCGTATTTAACGAATTTATTTCCACAGCAATTGTCTGTTCTTTTGTTAATAAAACTCTAGGAGGAAGGTTCCAATAAACGCCACTCATTTCGCCTCGATTAACGATTATACAAACGAAAGGAGTAATCGAAATCATAACAAAAAAATAATAATACAATAATATTTTGAGATACTATAAATTTTAAATCTAATTTCGATGCAATACTAAACTCTTATTTAAAATTCAAATCGCTTGGGCTACGGTTGTGGGTGGGGTCTTGGTTGGGTCCGTATCCACATAAACACGCACAAAAAAGAAAAACCAAACGCGTTTCGGTAATTTAACATGGTCTTCTTTAAAATGCAGCTGCTGCTGATAATTTATCATAATGAATCTTAGAGTCAATTGACAACTTGCACATTTAAAAAATTGTTAGGTGCTTCAAATCCTTTTAAATATGTACAGTTTTACATCAATTGCAAAACAGTCGAGCAAAATAGTAAAAAAATACAGTAAACTACGAAGTAACAGTGAAACGGGCTGTCACTACAAATAACTGTACTTCGGTTTACATTTTCAATGTTTCCTCATCTTTTCTCCTTCCCCGCAGGTATATTGAAATCTTCCGTAGCTCACTGGCTGAGCTGAAACGCGCTGCCAAAGGCAATGGACGCAGTGGTCCATATGACTTGAAGGATCGTGGCGGTAATCGCGGCAATGAATACGGCGGTGTACGCAACATGCGTGGCGGCAATGGTAAGTATGCGTGCTTTAAAGTGGAAGAACCTTAAACTTACTAAGTGTTCAATTATATTTTTGGCGCCCCACAGATTGGGGTAACAATGGCGCTCCATTCGGTGTTGGCGCCAACAACACACTTGGCTTTAATAATTTACCCAACTTCACAAACTCGGGTAACTTTGGCAATAACTTTGGACCGAATGGCAATGGAGGTGGCAGTGGCGGTGGTATGAGTGGTTTTGGTAATGGCAATAATGGCGGCAGTTTCGGTGGTTTTGGCAATAACGGTAATTTTGGCTCAGGCAACGGCAACAATGGTAACTTCGGCAACGGCAATGGCGGCTTTGGTGGCAATAACCGTTTCAACAACAGCGGCGGCAATTTCGGCAACGATTTCGGTGATTTTGGCAACTTTGGCAATAACCGAAATTTCAGTAATGGCGGCAATTTCGGTAATGACTTCCCAGTCGGCAACAACCGCAATGGTGGCTTGGGCCTCGGGTCGAACAATGGTGGTGGTGGTGGTGGTGGCGGCGGCGGCGGTAATTTTGGAAATTTCGGCAACTTTGGTAATTTCGGTGGTAACGGCGGTGGTGGCGGTTCCGGTAGCTCCGGTAATGGCAATATGAGCGGTGGATTTAACGGTGGCAACGCTATGATCGGCGGTGGCGGCAATTTCGGTCCGATCGGCGGTGGTCGCAATGACAATGAGTACTTCACCATCCATATGCGCGGATTGCCATATCAGTCGTTTGAAAATGACATCTTCAAGGTGAGTGTGACACTAACGATTTAATTATACTCAAATATTAAATTGAATTGTTTTTGCAGTTCTTCGACCCTATACGCCCAGCCAATGTGCGTGTTAATTTCAATAAAAGTGGCTTGCACAGTGGCACCGCCGATGTCTTCTTCGAGACGTACGAGGATGCTCAACTAGCGATGAAACGCCACCGCGACCAAATGGGTTCACGTTACATTGAGCTTTTCTTCGATGGCAAGACCAAAGCTGGCAATGCAAAGTCTGGTGGCGGTGGCGGTGGCAATTTCCAACGCCGTATCTAAAGCAAGCAATGCAAAATGTTGGAAGTTGGTACAAAGGCATCTCCAAGTTTTACGAAATGTAAAAGTGTGTGCTTTTTTTTTAAATAACGTTAATGCAACCCAATTTCAAGGGGAGGGAAAAGAAAATTACTAAATTAGTTTTCGAAACAAATACGCAATTTTTCATCGCTCATCTTCGTAATCACCGCAATGGTACTACAAGTGGTCGTGTAACCGTTAACTACATTAACCTTTAATTTGTAATTTGTTTATGCTGTAAGTCAATTCAAAAACATGGAAATTACCTAACCTAACCATACATTACAATAATAAAAAAATACATTTAAGTTTTATTTTATACTCTGTGAAAGAAGCAAACTTAATGTTTACATATATTGAAACTTAACTTACATAATATGTATACACATAACTGTACAATTAACATGCACATCACACAACATGAGGAGAGAGTATGATGCGCAACTAGCTCATTTTTATTGAATTAATTTTAATTCGTTTAAATTATACACTCTGCCGGGTATCGTATTGGAAACTCGAATTTTACCGTTCTTTTTTTCAAGCCTATACTTAATTTGCTAAAACTGGCGTCCTAAAATTGTTAATTTTTAACGTAATATAGATTCCATTTACTTAAGCACTGTGTTAGAAAAATATCTTTTTTTCTTAGAAACGTTTCAGCATTAATTAAGTTACCAACAAAGGTATTGCTGAATATTGTATTGTCAATAAAAATTATACGTAGAGTTCGCAGAAAGAATATGCTAAAAATGCTGCATAACAAACCATGTAAACAACAGAAATTTGTGCGCATGCGCATAACTCATTTTCCGAATAAAGAATAATTTTTACCTCTTTAGGAGGCAAAGTAACTTATGTATGTATGAATTTTTTTTTTGTAATGGATATGCGTTTGTAATTTGTGATGAATTATCCGATTGAAACTTCACTCGTGCCGGCCGTAATGACAAGGGTTGGCCGGATAGCTTAAAGGCGTTTGCGTAGAATTGCCTAAGGCATGCAATCAGGGGAGAGGGTAAAAAATGTTTGCTCGCCCTGTGTATGCGTGTGTAAAGATAGTGAATCACAAATCACCATATTTACTGCATACTCTTAGGCGCATAATTTCAAAATTTCAGATTTTTGTTGTGGTGCTTGCAAGATACCAATGTGATAGTATTGTTGTTGTGATTCTAGCGATGGAAAATAATTTGGAGAAGTGTCAATGAGTTGTCAGATTTTGATCGGTTAAAAATTCGGATAAACCCGTCTGTCGTCGGAACAGTGATTGATTATACAAGATACTTGTATCATTGAGGTCATCTAACGGTACACTCGTGGAAAAGGTTTTTACTTAAATGGAAGGGACCTGGATATATGTACATATGCAGGTTAAGAAGATGTCACCAGAAAAATTTTGGATTTCTTTGAAAGAAAAACGAATCTGTTTATTCCAAGTAGGAAAACGTTAGCCAACAAATCTGTTAACGCCGAGTGAACGCTTGTTGCTTTGAAAGTGACGTTAACAGATAGTATTTGTTGGTAAACAAATTTAGATATCTTTATACGAACGAGTACATGCGCTTATCACGCATGTAATCTGCATAGTGCTTGCCTTAGCTAATAAGTATAAGTTATCAAGTTTTTATCAAAGCTACCAAACTGATTACCGTTATATACACATGTACATATATAAAATAGATTGTCAAAAAAAGTCTTGCGGTAATGTTATTGAATTTTCAATTGTTCATAAAATTTTTTTTGATGACTCATGCCCACTATGCCGGTCTCTTTCGACCAATTCAGCGATTTTATCGGAATTTTCGACGACAGGCCTTCCGGAGCGTGGCGCATCTTCGACCACCTCTACACCAGAATGAAAACGTTGAAACCATCGTTGTGCGGTGGAAATGGAAACTGTATCGGGTTCATAAACTGCACAAATTTTATTGGCGGCTTGAGATGCATTTTTGCC